CTACCTCTGCTCCAGACTTCCCTTCGCCTCCTCTTTGCTAGACCAAACAAATGCAATTTTATCAATTTGTCCTTACACATCAGGTTTCCTCACTGCTTATCAGCCTTCCTCTCTCTTCTGGGCTCTCCTCAGTCCATGCGTAGAGCTGAATACTGTTTTCCAGCTAAAACATTGCCAGCATGGAATGGAAAACAATGGTTACTTCAGCACCTTGCACACACACAAGTGAACGTGGCAGGCACTCACCTCACAATGTTTTCCTTCTAGTTTCCTGTGCTTTTGTGACAGGATGCTATCACAGTACGTATAAGTGGCATAAAGACAATTCTGTTGGGAACATATTTTGCAGCTATTCCAAGGTCAAAAGTCTCATACATTTGGGTGTTTTTTTTTTTAAATTTTCCAGATGTATTCCTTAGTCACTTCTCTCAGCTTTTTTCCCCCAGGTAACATTCTAATGAGCTGGAAAAAAGCTTTGAGCCCTTTTTGGTCAACAAAGGAAAACAAATATAATGTTGGTAGTCATTCTGTTACCTAATATGAATGCTTTTCCTTGAAATCTAAAGAAAGGACTAACTGGAATAGAGCCAGGTTACTTCTGAAAGGGTGAAATTCAGCTGTGCTTTCTGCTTGTGTGGATAGGGCTGTTGCTATGCGGAAAGTTCAAGACCAACAGTTGGAAATAGGTGTTGCAATACTTTGGCATGTTATCCCATTTCAAGGAGTGAAGAAGTTTTTATTCTCAATCACTGCTATTTAATTTAGCCTGGTTGAAGTAGTCCACAGTTTCTTCAACTGATGCATCTCTCACTTCTGTGGAAGAGGAAAGGTCAACCTTAAAGCCCAGCAAAGATGGCAGTTTGCGGCTGCAGATCTCTAACTCTTACTTGGGATGTATTCTTGGCAAATATAAATAAAGGCAGGAAATAACAAAATACTGATCACAAATTTCTGTCATATTCCAGCACAAGAGCTGGAAATAGTACATCTGAGCTTCTTGTCTACCATTTTTGTCATTTTGGGATTGAGCGAAATGCAATGCTGCAACTACCAGCAGTCTTTCTTTAACACATACTGAATGTAACTGTACAATTAATGTATTCTTGCAGCTATGCTAACTTTAATGTAACACAAATAACTCATTAAATATGTTCTTTGCGGACTTTGTGAGGTAGTTTAATTTATGGTGGACTTGCCTTCAAAATCCAGGAGTTTTGTTTAACTTGCCTGACATACCAGCTGTCAAGTCAACCGTGCACTAAGTAAAGGGTACCAGGCAAGACAAGCAAGGGATTACTTCCTTTGATAAAGAACAAAGTTGAAACTATGGTAAGGCCTTTTGAGCTCCAGTATAATATTTTGCAAAGCAGGCAGAAAAAGAATGAAAGGGAATATAGTGCAAGACAAGATTTCTTCATGCATAAAACACCGCAGCAGTCTTAGAGACAACATATATTACTGGAGGAGAGCACAGTTAATAGCTGCATAGCACTATAATCAATAAATAGCAGTACAGAAACCTAAATTCTCTATGCCTGCCTTGATCATGGCTGGGTCCTTCCCTAACATACTAGTCCCACAAGTGTTTATATATGCACTTAACTTTCCTTACAAATCTTCACACGAATAGCTCAAGTGAGTAACCCTGTGCAAGCATGAAAATGTTTGCCAGGTTATGTAGAATTCAAACCTGAAACAATAAAATAAAAATCCTTGAGGTTTAGTATGTTTTGATTAGTGCTTTAGTTTTTGTACATTTTAGACCATCTATCTGGTGTAAAATTATTCTGTGTAGATTAGCAGTCCATTAATGCACTTTCAAAAATTTTGTAGATTAGTATTTTATGAATATGCACTTGTCTTCCTCTGTTGTTCTCTGGAATTCTGTTTTTAACAGGCACTGGTGACAACTATTGAGTGGTATTTATAGCTTTGTTTGTTTTGCTCTCTATTGGAAGGACTAATCTCTTAGACTTTTAATTCCAGTACCTCAGATTAATTTTCCACAAAATAACCTCAAACAATTTCTAGTGCAGATGTTCTTACATTGCAGGAAGTATCCTAGTTAAGATAAAGGTGTTGTATAGATAGGAAAAAGGTCAAGGGACAGTCATCTTTTTACAAGTCAGCAAAAGATAACTGCAACTAGCATCAAGAAGAAAAATATATTACAGTCAAGACAAAGATAACCATCTGCCTACTCCACTTACTATTGCTTTAATAAATCTAAATCGCTTCATAGAATTTGAATGTGACTTATCATTTTTAACATCTATTAATTCCAGTTTTGCCTTTTCTGAGTAACTGCAAGAGAGAGCTTTACTAACACTTTGTGTGGTCAGTCCTGAAGTGACTTCTTTTTGTTATTACCTTTTCTGTTTTCTGGAGTTACCCATGTTTTATATTCCCTTCCTAGGACTCTAGACATTCTTCAGATTCAAGCCTTGTTTCTTCCACAGAACAGTTTGATTCTTCTATCTTTACTCTTGCTCAATGTCATTTATTTATATTGTTTTGTCATATCAAGACAACTGCAGAACAGAGGCAAGGACAATAAAAATCTTAGCTAATGAACTAGCTTTGATACAGGCAGAATACTATAAGCTTTAAGCAGTTTGATATTTCACACCAGTGATCAACACATACATTAATGTCTTTATTACATAGCCAACACATTATAGGCCTTATAACAGTATGTATTTTTGGTGAGACAAAATGAAGCGATGCTAGTTTCAGGTCACTATATTCTAGTTTTGTATCAAAACTTTTTATAATCAACAGCAGTTTCATTTCAATAAACTAGTAGCATCCCTTCAAAATATCACACTTAAAGATTTCCAACAGCTGCAACTGTCAACAAACCCCAAAATTTAAATGTTTGTATTACACAAGGGAGAGTTATGAGGAAGTCTATGCATGTGGCTACGTCAACTTAAGTATGTTTATAGCAAGGCTTTGGCAGTAGCATAGCTAGTTATGATAATGCTTTTAGCCAAAGTATCAATAAAAAAAAAAATCTCAAACTCATGCGTCGATTTCAGTTGAGCAAGGTGGCAAAAATCTGATTGTGGATAGAGTTAATTATTAAATAACATATTTGAAGAATTCTATTCAGGCTCTTTTGAACATGAAGTAACAAATTTGCCTTTGTTTTGTAATTTGTTAGAAACTGTCTTCTTGGGTTATCTTTTAAAAATTTGGGTAAGCATGATAGTAAAAAATCTAACTCACATCCCATTAGAAATACTTAAATTGGAAAGCTAAATATGAGAACAAAAATCTGTCTGGAAAAACAGATAACTTGTGCTCCCACTGGTTTGATGCCAGTTCTGCAATTAACAGTTAAGACTGGTCTTAGGTCTGGCATCAAGTGATATTCTCAAGTAGGCAGCTGTTTCAAGAAAAGAGCCAAAACTGTTTCTATGTCAAAAACATATGACAAAATGGCATAGCCTGCCAGCTGGCACATCTTTCATAGAAGTATAAAGTGTCCAGCAGAACAACCAAATGGAATAATTTTGGAAAGCTGATAATTAAGTTCCAACTATATTGCCAGTTTTCCTCTTAAAAGTCTGTAAATGTTTCCCACAGGTAAATGATTATCTGTTTTACTCTGGTTATTTTATGCCTTCTAAACAGGCAAAACACCATGACAGCAGTTATTTCCCTCACAAGCAAGACATCCTTTTTTAGCAGAGACTGATCTATTCTGTTGAAAGTTTCCATTTAAAGTGTAGATTGAAAAAAAAAAAAATCAACGATGAAGTAGATGTTTACCTCCTTTAATAGGCAAAACTATTTTCAACATATTCTGGTAGACATTGCTTTTAATTGTAACAATATATTATCTCAAGGCAGTCTTAAAACTTAATGAATTTACATTAAAAAAAAAAAAAAAAGAAGTTGGTTATGGTTCCAGCAGCATTTAGTATGTGATGTAACAGATTTCTTATATCTTAGATGTGCCTAGAAATCACATCATCACTATATTTAAAATTGCAGCCTGTCAAACTACTGAATTCAATAAGCAGTTTGAAAGTGCAGAGAGAACAAATGCAACATAGAGAAACAGAGCAACGTGTCTTTGCATTTGAAATACTTGTAGATCGTATAACAAGTTCTCATGTTAATCCAGTGCCATGAAGCTTGAAGGAATCCCGCTGTGCCTTCAAAAAAACAGCATCTTATATAACCTCATTTTCATTATTATTAAAATAATCTTACTACTTTCCTTTGCAGTTCAGCAGAACCACTGTTTCAAATGATCAGCTTGGCACCTCTTCTTCCTGGTTTAATTTTACATTTGAACTGCAGACATACTTAGAGAACTACACGGATGTAAGGTATTAACATTTTTCCCTTTAATAAATACTTTAAGCCCCACCTCTCCAAAGTGCTGCTATCAGTGCCCCATTTTCAGAGCATATGACCATTTGTGAGTGAAAATAAAATAATTTATATGTATAATATAAAATTTCCAAATCTTAGTTAAGTCCCTGTTGAAGAAATATTTCTTGAGTCTCTTAAGCCTGTCACTCTAACAGCTGTCTCAGATACGAGCTCAGTGAAAGGCAGTCATTTTTTTCTCCTCATCTACTACCCTGTTGTGTGCTGTCCTTATTTGGAAGGATTTAGTAACAGCAATTCTTCCATAGTGTGACCTCCAAAAAGTCATGATCCATTTTCCTCCCTTCTAAAAAAAAAAAGAAAATCAAGGAAATAAGGCGTCATCTGACTTGAACTATATTTGCTCTGGCACACATTGCAGTCCTCTCATCTCTGAGGTCCAAATTAGAATTTGTTATACCAGTCTTGGTAATTTCTGCAGGCGGTGGTTGACTTGACCTTTTAATCCAGCTAGCTTTTTCCACTAGAGGACTAAAATCATGGGCTGTAGGAAGGATTGACTTCAGTGAATGGGTTATGAGGAATTAACGTGAATCACTGCCATTCCAAATTACCAGTGCTCTGATCCATGTAACAAACTGCAAAAAAGTAAGTCACAACAGCAGCCTATTTACCTTAGAAGGACAGTCTGGGCAATGGCTGCCTCGTCCCAGAGGACTACTTCTGGTCACTGAAAGTGCAGTCACTACAACCTGTGCTGCACCCTCTCCAAGGCAAAGGCAAGTGTCCAACAATGCCCGAGCACGGCCAGTCACTGTGGGGTAAGAGGTAATTGTTTCATAATCCATTCGGGACAACGTTTGCTGTGAGCGAAGGATGTCGAGGATGTGGTTGAGACGTCCCTCTGTCATGCAGCTCAGTATGGTCTGTCTCTGGCAGGCTAGTACTTGAGAGCAGTTTCCTTTGCAGCAAGGATCTTGAATGAAAAGGAAACAACATGAGATAAACTAAGTGCTCTTTTTTTCCAGAAGTTGTTAGCAAGCGATAGCATTGACACCAGAAATATAAACTCAGTAGAGGAAAGGAGTAGGAAGGGTTAGTTTATTTGCATTTTTTGTTCAAACCTAGTCTAATGTACTTTCATTTTTTGTTCAAAACTCATGAAGATCAGACTACAGAAAATAAGTGTTTCTAAAGATTATTAAGTGCTCAGATTGTATAAGGGGAGTAGATTTTCAGGTCTTGCGCTGTTCATCTAGCATCTGCATCACACTTTGTGCAAAGCAGCTTGCCTCAACATAGATGAGAAAAAACTTTGCCCTGTAGAAAGTGGAAGAATAGGGTAGTAGGACTGTTTGAAACATGTATGGTAAAACTGGGAACTTAGATATGTCAAAGCCAAACTAGTAACAAAAGTAATACTCTTGGCAAAATGATCAAGAACTTTGGGTTCTGTCTCTTTTCACAAACTGATTAGAATACTTAGTACTGACATTAGGGGTTTTAGTGTACAGTAAATACCATACACCAAGAGAACATTAATAATGAAAAGCCATTGTTGGTTTGGAGACCATGCCTCTGTCATTCTGATTTCTGATTGTTGTCCATAGAGTTCTGTGACGACTTTTCCTGCATGAACTAGTCTGTTGATTTATCCAGAAATTATGTCATCACTCAGGACTAAATTGAAATGGAGAAGGATGGCCAGCTAGATGGGAGAACTGTCATAGGCTAGCTTGCAAAAAGTTAGCAAGAAGCTTCATGAGCTTTTTACCTACAGGCAGGGGCAGGCTTCACATATCAGAAGCTGGCCTTTTCTGCCTCTGTTCAGTAGGAAAAACTAAGACCATGTAAGTAAGGAAATGAATCCCACCCACCCCACCCCCCCGCCCCCAGTCACCCATTTCTGTAGTTGATAGCTACTTTTGTAGAGGTATAGAATACACAGCTTAAAATTACAAAAAAACCCTCCCAGGCTTCAACAACTAATATCTTTCACATTGAATGTGTGTTATGTTTTTTGTATTTTTGTTATGGTCCTTTCATAACTGTTCTCAGGCTGAATATGACCCTGGAAAAGAACAAGCCAATGTTCTTAGTGGCCAATGCCTGAACCTCTGAGAGCATAGGAGAAGCTATATGCAAATAAACTCAAGACATTTGTATCAAGTTTGGAGAAGTTATTACACAAAATACCTGAAAATGTGCACAAAATTTAGAGAGATCTGTGTCCTCCAGACTTGAAACAATTTAATCACCAAGATCTGGCCAAGGAGAATATTGCCACCTCAAACTGGAAATGGGGTCTTACCTGTCACTGCACGTTCAGGATGCATAGGTTGTGGTCTCTGCCCAAAAGCCAGTGGTGGGTCCGTATGCTTACGGCTTTCTTTGCCTGTAGTTGAACCCGATAAAGGAATTGTGCAAAAGGAATTTGATTTTCTACTGTCAGAGCCTGGGTGATCTAGCAAAAGTTTAAGATGAGTAAAATTAGACCCTTGAATTGAACAACAGCAAAACATTATACATATATCAGCCACTGCAGAGGACTGGAGCTGAAGTGAAAACTAACTTGAGAGCACTTACTTATTACTAGCTGTTCTTTGGGCCCTTGTTAATACATCATTATTCCTAGGAAGATTTTGGCATATATTACTACACACATCTGACTTTTTCAAACTGTCTGTAGGAATTTGTTTCTGAAGTTAATGGAACATTCTATTCTGTCCATAAGACTAACAGCTATTGACCAGAACTAAAATGCTTGGAAATGCAGATGTTGCTATAAGTCAATTGACTTCTGTGGCTCAATTTTTGTATCCAAAGGCATGAGGAGTACAGAAAAAGCTTTTAAGGAAATATATCATTTGACACAAATTTAAACACTTTGGCAGGACAAATCCACATCGGAAAGGCAAAGGAAGTTATTTATGTAGGAATGGTGTTTACCAGGAGTCATTCACATGTTCCTGGCAACACAGTCTTTTTAAAATATATCTCCTTTTCTTATTAGCAAATTACAAAAAAGCAGTTATTTCTGGTGGCACAAGGCAGTGTGGTTCCCAGGAGGGACTTGTTTTGTCAAAAGCAACAGGCAATATTTGATATGCAAGGGAAAGGCAGCTGTACATTACAGGTCAGGGTTCAAAAAAAAAATTACCAGAAAAGGCTTTTTGATCTATACACTTAATCAAAAAGTATTGTGGCACCTCTGTTTTTCTGTAGTGCACTCATGCTTCAGATGATACCAGTAGAGGGCACAGCTATACTCTGAGAAGGTACAATTTTACATGGAAAATAACGTGTATATGGAACAACTGGTAATATTTATCCTTTTCTTAGAATAGTTGGAGCTGAATAGGTTTCAAGGTAGAGACCTTTCTTTGTTTTTGTGTTCTCTGGGATAGACTTTGACAGACCCATCTCAAAAATATTTTCTCTTCCTGCATTATTTGCACTGCTGTCAAGTAGAATAGTTGACAAGCTTGGCACTGCAAAAGGAATTTTCTTGCTGATTACGTGTTTGGGCTTTGGTGAACAGATGACCTGAAAAAGATCAAAATACAGAATTATATTCTTGTAAACTTTTCCAAAACCTTTTCTAAGCAGTTTTCTCTTGGAATATAAGGCAGTAGTATCACAGTGCAGGGCAGGGTGGGTATGCAGCTGTTGAGCCTGCAGACATACTTAATTCAACTTTAGCTAGTTAACTGTGGCAGCACAGAACCATAGGCTAACTGTCCTAGATTGCTTCTGCAGCCTGTGCTGCCAGCGGCCGTGGTGTCACCAGAACTTGAGCTGTTTAAAGCTAGCTGTGATCCAGGAATGTGAGCTTCAGTTCTATCTCTGTATGTTTCAGTATCGGCAGGCCTGCCCCAAGTGCCAAAATCACTTTGAAAATGGGAGTTAAGTGTATTTTGGGGTGATCACAAAGCAGTTGGCCTTGATCTAAGAAAATTGGTTGAAAATGCTAGAATTCAGCCTAGGACTTTTTCTAGCCATCATTTTGAACACACTACAAGAAAGGTTAGATTTTTGCTATTTCATTAGCACCTCTTCAAGAAGGTTCAAAAAGAGATTCAAAGCAACTCTTAGGTGGGGGAGGTTGTTTTTCAAGAGCAACATCAGAGTCAGCTGCTTGGAAGAAGGTAAAACAGTGGGTTTTGTTGGTTAACTGGATGGAGTTATCCTGGTTAGGGGCATTTTGCCCCACAGTGTTTGTATTATACACTGTCAGGGCTGGCAGGAGAAACAAGCAGCTTATGAAGTACTCTTGTAAGACTCATGCCACATACTCACCTCTGAATTGCATATGTCCAACTGCAATGTGTACATTTCTGAACCTTTGCATGCATTAAGTGCTGTCTCCTGGAAAAAATAGCACAGTAACTCTAGTAAGAATACATATGGTTCGTTCAATTCACGATTGTCAGGAGCAAGACACTGACAATTTATACTGACAATATATATTATACTCTCAGGTACGCCGATATATAATAACAGTGAATTGCACAGACCAATTTTGCATTTTAACATATGTAAGTGGGCATAGAACCTGATACAACGCTACCCTGTTACTGTTTCTGCTGTTTCAAATTTATTTTAAAACCCAATTTTAAATCCTGCAGGGGAAGGTGAAAATAGCCCTGTATTTTGAGAGAGAGAGATTGGGCTAGCTATAACATGTTCTCCTTTCAGTATCCAAACAGCATGGCTGTCCTGTGTTTAGTATGCCAAACTGTCTGCAATAAGGACATGTCAATACTTGTAACTTTTTTCCATTTTGTACATCTGCACCAGATTTGTTCAGCTATTTTTAGTTTATGTACTTCAACACATATGAATCAACCCATTTTCAAGAATCTCCAATAGCATTTTCACAGTCATTTTGGACATACTGTCAGTTCAGTTGTTTGAACAATAAATAGTACTCTTTGCTAATTTAGCAAATAGAAAAATAAAACCTTGCTCAAGGGAGATTGAAGCATGAGATTATTTAGGATTGTACTGCCAAATATTCCATAAACTTCAACAGTAGTAACAATGGCTCGGACTATAACTATGCCACCTATTAAAACATTGATCAAGTTTGTTCTATAATCCCAGAACGTGATTGCAACATGTAGAAATAATCCAGCATGCATTAACATAAACAACTCACATAAGCACAGTAATGAAATCAACAACACAGCATGGCTGTAAATGGCGTCAGAATACTTGTTCAAGGGCTGAAGCGTGTGTCACTAGTTTTCCCACTATGACTATCTAAGTTAACTAGATAAGATGTAGCTATATTTGTGGCAGTCAGATTTGTGCCAGATTTCCCATGGCAATGTAGACATATATGGTATTAGCTGTATCCCTCAGTTGTTGGCCATTCCCCATCCATTTCTGTGGTATCAGAGAACCCTCTTAGACCCTAGGACAAGCAGTGTCTTGTACCTGAAGCACATCAATTTAGGAGCAGTGAAGCATACAAAAAAGTGCTGGTACTAGTATTGCCACAGCAGGTACTAATGCTGTCCAGGTTCTGGAATAGGTATCCTCTTACCAGCTCTACATACAGCAAGAATTGTCCTTGATTCTAGCCCTAATCTGATCTGCTTGAGGCTGGTATTTGTTCTCACTCACATGGGGTTATCAGTCTGACTACAGCTGGTGACTGGAAAGAAGCTATCATATTTTTATAATCTCAAGTAGGTATTGACATGGTTTCTAGAGAACCTCACAGTATCTGTTTTCTACGATTCTTGAACAAGCCTGAAGTGCCAAAGGGTACTCTCTAGCTCTCTGGCATGTCCCATAAAACAAAGACGACAAAACCTTTCCTGGTTTTGGACCACAAAGATTGCAATTGAAAGAATCAAGTAATGTCCTTGTAGGAGAACAAAACTTAATTTTGCACGAACCTTTGCATCCATCAGATTGTAGATTGCAGTGGAAATTGCCTCTTTATTTATATTAGTCAAAATTCCATTCAGAAGGTCTACACATTCTGCAGGGGTAATAAAGCATTTTAAATACCACATTGAGTATGGAAGTGTGTATATATTTAGGCATCAGCATATTGCAACTCAGTTTACTCTTATGTTGAGTAGCTGGATGAACTAGATGAAAGTAGTTTAATACAACTTCCACCTCATACCTTCTCTTGGTTTCCTTTTTGAACTGATTTTAAAGAATGGTTACAGTCACATTAAAATCACATTTTCTTAAGTGTTCATACAGATGTAGTGAACTTACTTGCAAAAGATATACACGTGACTGTATAAATCTATCACAGTAAAGCTATATGCAGATTGCTTCCTCAGTATGTCAACTTTGACAATTTGCTCAAAAGTCCACAAATATCACAACTTTAACATTTCTTGGCTATCTTTTTAGAAACAGATGATAAACATAACAATTCCACTGAAGTAAACGATGATAGCACACTTCAGAGGGAACTGGTTATGCATTGGAATCAAGAAATGCTGAAGACAGGTTGATCTTTGTTAAACTACTATACATAGCTGATATTATTCCTTCCTTTATTTGTACTCATTTTTACTTTATACTAAACACAATTATGGAGATAAGCAAGCCATTTCTGGTAGGAAGCTTCAGTTAGGAAAACTATCTACAGTACTCTGATGATCTAAAGACTGCTTCCACTTCAGTTGTTCTGTCACTGATTTTGAGTGCTAGAGCAATGTTCCCAGCAAGACTATCTCCATTACAAATCTTGCAAAGAAAGCATATCCTGAACCTTACCTGCAATACGTGGTCTATAATCTGGTTCTTGATGCCAGCACAGAGCGATAATGTGCAACAGTCTATTCCTCTCAGGCAAATTGCTTGGTATAAACTTTTCTGAAATGCCAGGCCGCAAACTGCTGTGAATTCCGGTCAAAACTTCCAGCAGGGTTGTTTGACCTGCAATTTATAGGAAAATGTCACGACAAAAAATATTAAAGACCTCTCTTAAAGTGATATTCAGCATAAGTTATTTTGTATATTTTAAAACAAAGACTGCTTTTTTGAAAGCAAAAATATATTAACGTTCTTGTAAATAGATATGCTAATCTTCAACAATAACTATAGCTACTTATTACAACAGGACATTTCACGATAAGGAGCACTGTCCAAATAATAAGTCACAAATAGATATGTAAACATGCATTGTAAACTACAAGCACCGATACCTCAGGAATACATGTAATTATTATGGGTATATTCTAAGCACACAGTTTTATATAAAGCCTTGCACCTGCATTGTAAGAATAGAACTCCTATTGTACAAAAAAAAAAAAAAAATTCTACTTTGGGCAGCCACAAGATGGCAGCCATAAGCTGTATGAACATTAAGATACTATTCTATGCAGTTATTTCTAAGAGGTCCTCAGCCTGTAAAATACAGGAGTCCTTCAATCAGTTTTGCCATGCAGAACTGAGCCCATAGCAAAGAAGCCTTTCTTTGATCCCTGTTTCATGGAGGTGGAGATCATTCCTAGACTGTGACAATTATTCTACAAAGCTTTGCAAACCAAGTTCTTTAAAACTGCTCACGCTGTAAAAATTCCTGCTTACTTAAGAGAATTCAGCATGAACTGGCATTTCTTGATCAGGATTTGAAACTCACGGCAACTTTAAAAATAAGCATTCTGCTCATCCAGTTAGCTGTTCATCACTGAAATGTTCCCTAATTTTAAAACGACAACTGTCAAATCTAAAGTGGTATTCTTTCTCACTAAAGGTAAGCAGAAAACCGAACTCAGCAACAGAGTGCTTCAGCAAGCACAGAGAGATGACACAAGTGGGTTAAGAAGCTACACCGTTCCCCTGTAGAAAGGTCAGCTTCTTGGAAACACTGAAGGTTTGTTGAAGGATTCTAACCTTTACACCCCATAACGTGGAGCTATGTGCCGCAACAGTAATATAAGGCAAAGGGACATCTGAAGAGACAGTGCTGTTTGTGTCATGATTTTCCTACAATAAAGGAATCTGTGGAAAAGATTAGGGCAACACAAAGTCTAACATGAACAAGAGAGTTAAATACCTTCAAAAGGTTTCCGTCTGCTTAGGCTCTCCCAACACAGTATTCCAAAACTGAAAAAAAAAAAAAAACCAGCAAAAGACCATTCATTAGTTTACAATTCATATCAATGTTCTCATTTCCAAGAGCAAGTTCACTGGTTTAAGAGAAAGGAGTTTTTCAAGACAAAGTCTATCCAAGACTTTCCTAATTTGATGAGATCCTTTTTCCTGCATTACTAAGTTTCAATTTTCAACTGAACTGTTCTTATAAAATAATAAATAAGTTTGAATTAAGTGTTAAAATTTTTTTTAAACATAGGATCAATTAGAATTACATTTGAGGTTACCACCTTATCTCCAGTTGCTCTTCTGAATTTCAGAAACTTCTGTTCTCCTTTCTCTATCATTCTTCTTTTGTTTTTGGATAAGTTAAATAGCAACTGAAAGAGCTGGACTTTTCAGCAGATACTGACAAGTGCATCAGTTAGTCTACCAAAAACTTGATTCTGACCCACTGTGTATATTTTCTTCAGCAAATTTTGATGGAGCTCCAAATGCCTTTTTCCTTTTCTAACATCCTGGGAAGTATTCCAGTGGTACCATAGATCTGCATATGTAACCCACAACTCATATGGTATAAAATACAGTTTGACAAAAAGCTCAATCTGCAAAATCAGAGGCAGAAGCAAGGCAGAAGCTGGAAGAGAGAAAGCAGGCTGTGGATGAGTCAGAAGCAAAGGAATCAAAAGTGGAAGAAGAAGTTCTAGGATAAACTTATCTGCTTACTCATATGTCTTGCTGTAGTGCTGAATTACAATGTTTAAAGGAACCTCCTCTTCTGCCTTATTTCCGCAAAAAATCTGAAAGTGCTTTTCCTTAAATACCCTCTAGGAAAGTATTAATGTAATGTGGACACACATGTAACTTACATGTACTTAAGTAATATTTCATATATGACACATACTTTTGTTTTCTCTGTTGCATCACTGTCCAGACATGCACCTATCTCATGCACTGAGTCACATCTGAGCATCTAAAGTCATACAAGAGTGACATGCTGGAAGATGAATTATGCCACCTGAAAGTAAGTCGCCACTCTTCCTGTGCAAAAATCTTGTATTTATGAACAACATCAGATTAGTCACATAATTGATAGGTCTCCTCAAGTGTATGCATTATTTGACTCATCTTAGAGCCTGCCTCTGTGACAATAAAGCAGGAATTTAAATTTGTTGCCTCCATAAAACCTCTGAGAGGAGAAGAGTGGTCATACTTAGAAGTTATTTATAATGTTAGTCCACAGGCTGTGTATGCTGGTTGTAAAGATCAATGTCCATACAGACAATAGGTGCAATTTGAGGTTGTCTCATTTATTGAGGCAACTATGAAGCATCTAACATATCCAAAAGAGACACGTGGCAGTAGGTAATCTTTCTCTTTCATATAAATCACCTTAGTTAAAAAGTATGAATGCTTGAGTGGCTCAGTAAATTATTCCAGCAGAGATTCCATAGGACCTTAATGGGACACTATTGAGAGAAAGGTCTTATTTTTACCTAGGCCTCATTTAGGCATCAACAGTTCTTCCTGAAACTAAAGCCAACAACAGTTCACACTTTCAAACCATGTGAATTGTGGTTATTAGGTTTCTAAACGTATATGAAAAAGTTTTGGCAGCTATGTTACACTTTTTAAATATTTATGTCCATTATATAAATATTTATATGGTGACCTTTGAGAACAATTCTTAACCTTGCTATATTATTCACCAAACATGGGGAATTTAAAATTTAATTCACTGCTGTGATTGGCCTCATGTGGAACACTATCCTACTGCATCATGTAGATCTGGCATTTTTACTGTAGTGTCTTTGAAAATAAGTATTTCAGCAACATTGCAGAATGTAGCAAGGACTAGGTATGACCTGCCCTTGGAAATCCCATTCACCTGTAAATATCACCTTCCTGGGAAGGAAGGCCTCCTTCAAGTATTTCAGGAGGGAGGTACACTAAGTCCTGGCAGTTTCTCTGATTGCAGTTCTGCAGGTCTGACCTCAGTTGCTGTTTCCTCCAGTTAGTTAGACCATAATCTGATATCTACAGAGATGGGAGAAAAAGTAAGTTTTAGTAACAATACCTCAAGTCTTGGTATTAAATTTTGACTATTAGGATAAATATATGCAACAATAGGACAATCACTGGATTTTACATTAATAGGCTAAAAGTAGAAGCTCTCACCTTGGCTCTGTACTGCATATCCAAAAGCACATTTGAAGGTTTCAGGCTGCAGTGGCAGAAAGCAGGCTTGAGGCTGTGAAGGTAATGCAGACCTTCAGCCACATCCAACAGGATCCTTATGAGTAAGGGAAATGGAAGTTCTGGGTACAGTTGATGCTAAGTAACACAAAATATGTGTTTTAGTAGCGTGAAATTGTTACTATTCATATTTTCATTTGACAATAAACAGAAGTACAATACAGAAGCTAAAGAACAGATTGACTGTGACTACTGTCTGTAATTTACATGCTGATTGTTATCTTTTGGCTGACCTTGTAATTAGTTTTGCCACTGTCATGGTTTAACCCCAGCTGGCAGCTAAGCACCACACAGCTACTTGCTCACTCCCTGCCCTGGTGGGATGGGGGAGAGAATTGGAAGAGTAAAAGTGAGAAAACTCATGGGTTGAGATAAAGACCTTTTAACAGGTAAAGCAAAAGCTGCGCATGCAGGCAAAGCAAAACAACGAATTCATTCACTACTTCCCATTGGCAGGCAGGTGTTCAGCCATCCCCAGGAAAGCAGGGGTCTGTCACACATAATGGTTATTTGGGAAGACAAATGCCATAACTCCAAACACCCCCCTGCTGGCCAACTCCCCCCATTTTTTTTGTTCAGCATGATGCCATATGGCATGGAATACCCCTTTGGCCAGTTTGGGTCAGCTGTCCGGGCTGCGTCCCCTCCCAGCTTCTTGCACGCGTCCAGCCTCCTTGCTGGCAGGGCAGTATGAGAAGCTGAAAAAGTGCTTGACTGAGTGTAAGCACTGCTCAGCAACAACTAAAACATCAGTGTGTTATCAACGTTATTCTCATCCTAAATCCAACACACAGTACTCTACCAGCTACTGGGAAGGAAGTTAACTCTATCCCAGCCAAAACCAGGACAATACACTTTCCCCTGCTCCTTCAGGTGCCCAACGTGGGGCTTGAAGGGTTGAGATAACAACAGATCTGTCCAGAGCATGTGAAAACAAATTTGTTATAAGCATTCGTTATTAGGTTAATAGTCACTGGTCACAATGTTGATTTATTTGCTCCCAGAGTTGTTGTGCTTGTTCTCAGGGTTGTTATGCAACACCGTACTTGCCGTACGTGTTCCCTGTTGTGCTGCTTATCACCTCTGGGGACTGGGTCAAGGTTATTGTTTCACTCTACTGTGTAACACCGGCTTATGATATGATAAAATGGCTGGTCGTGAGACTAATCTGGTATTTGTACTCAACATTGCTGTCATCTCCATACTTGGGAAACCATCTCTTGGAAACTATTAATAATTACACTCTTTACCTTTTCTCCTCGGAGAGTCAATTTATGGGGGATACAAAGGGGGGACACTTTCCCCCACTCCTTCACCCTCACCTTCCCCTTCTCCTCCAGGTTAGTTACAATAGCTCTCAGTGACTATTACCTATTAAACTGTCTTTATCTCAACCCGTGAGTTTTCTCACTTTTACCCTTCCAATTCTCTCCCCCATCCCACTGTTGGGGGGCAGTGAGCAAGTGGCTGTGTGGTGCTTAGTTGCTGGCTGGGGTTAAACCACGACAGTCCTATAAAAGATGACTTCTTTTATGTACCTCATGAATGAGTGAGTGGAGGGATCCGTTGTTCATCCATTCGGTCACTATCCCCACAAGTCCATGGTACTGGTAAATCCCAAGAGAAGGCAGGAGATGTTCAGACTTACAGTGTCTGACATTTTCTATATCCTGAAGTAGCAAGTTCCACTCTCTGTAAAAAATAGCAAGGGTTAGGGGCGGATTAGACTGAAGGGAATTTCAGCTAGAGATGAGATAGTGTAGGATATGGAAATGAGAGATAACCATATGGTTGAACACAAGCTAATATTTGGTTTATTGGTAGAATTATATTAGGTCATCTTCAAACAACTCTAAGAAAATGAAGCAATCCCTTGTGTAGTGTATTTTTCTAATAAAACATGAAAGACCTCCGGATGCCTTAATAAGAACATAAGAGCACAGTTTAAAGCAGGATTGAAGTGCAAAGCCAGGAGAAAGCTGAATTATTTGAAATGCTAGATTAAGCAAAATAAAGTTTTCCCCCCCTTACTGTGCCCCAAAACTTGTATTGTAACCTTTTGCTATTAGTGAGGTCCACATTTGCATGGAAATTATGATCTTCTATGCTTATCTAATGGACCATGTTATATAAATGATATACAATATCATAGCATGATATAAAAGTGAATCCAAATTCAGATTTGATGTAAGCAGTACCACTCTAGTGACTTTGCCAAATTTGATTCAAGCTCAAGTGTAGTTGGATTGTAGACCTGAATTCGAACAGTTTATTTACAGAGATAACAAAGCTTTGGTTTGATCATCATCAGAAGAATAAAGTTTTGTTGTCTAAGGACTTCAGTTACTTCTTCATGCACAGGAAGCACCGAACTGTCAATTCAATTGTGCATTTTCATGGAATTAACTGAACTTCTGCTACAGGTTCAATTTTTGTTAATTGTATGTTTGATTTTAAAGATCTGATTATCTCTACTCTGTGGTACTTGTGAGCTGAAAATTCATTGAAATTCATTCAAAATTCAGCTGATTTCAACAGACCTGGAGCTCATTCTCATTATTCTAACCAGCCTTTACATTAAGACTTCAATTTCAGGTTCTCGTATTTACTGTGTTAATTCACAAGCCTGTAAACTGATCACTAGAAGTAATACACAGCCCCACCTGTTTTAACACTTATTTCCACAAATCTAAATATCTGTCATCAGCACACAGTTAAATAATTTGCAGCCAGAGTAAAACAATTTATTCTCCCAGCTTTCCTATACACCGTGTAGTGTGAACAAGAGATCAGAATGGTAGGAAGAGAAAAGCAGAACAGTGGCTTAAGTTTTAGGGGGAAAGTTTGAGAGAAAACATACCAAATCAGGATAGTGTGTTAAATTCAAAGTAAAGTAAAATGTTGATTTCTGCAACTATTCTGCTGTGGGGTTTGTTTGTTTGATTTAAAGAAAATGCAGACAGAGGATAGAGGGAACTTTTTTCTTTAAACAAGGTACGAAACAAATAACATTGGTTCTGATTACAAAATTGCTGGACTTCCATTGTCTAAAAACCAAGCAACCACACCCAACCCCCACCCTTAAAATTTTTAACTGTTCCCAAATTCTGGCAGCACTTGGTTTTTGAAGTATCACTGACAATTCAAACTGTCAATGTAAAAAAAATTGTATTAAATACTGTTTTTTCCTCCCCTGCCTTTATAATGGAACAAATTAAACACTATATAGTCGAGTACGACACTTCTGTATTTTACTTTTAACAAAAGCCACCTGAATGGCAGCATTCTCAGTTAACAAGAGTAATTAGTCCGTAGATGCACATCAGACACTCCATTTTTGATAAACAGTCAGGCCAGAGCATTCCCTGAAATGCTTTGGTCTTGCTTCATCAAAAGTAGCTTGTGTTTATTATTAGAAACTTTCTGTGATTTTGTCACACACTGGAATTTTGTGGTCAGTAGGCTGACGCCCATCAGTTACGGCTCATTTGTTTTTATAATTAGGACATGTACACGTCTTACTGCCCTGTAACCATGACCATTATCCCTCCCTCCCCCCATTTCTCTACTCCCTCACCTGTACATGCTGCTTTAGATTAAATTCAACTGAAATCTCTTCAGGGACCTCCAGAAAGATGTAATACCATAGCATGCTGAGTATTCCTGATCAGGGTTTGTAGACATTATTATAGCAGAGGTAATTAATGACTTCAGGATTAAGCTCTACTTTTAAAAAAAAAAAAAATGTGAAAAACCACAGAGCTTGTTTCTCAGTATAACTGCCTCCAAGTTGCCTCTTGGCTAGTCGGGATTTCTAGGAATGGAGATCAGATGATCCTGGGCATGCCACAATTCATTCTGGTGCCATCACTGCAGGTCTGTGCTGCCCACCTGCACGGTTAGTTAGCCAAATAAGACACGTACCTCTCTGTAGTGTCCTGGCTGGTCAGCAGCTTCACCGAGATGTGAGTGTTCCAAGAAATATGAAAGGCTCTGAGTGCAAAGCCTGAGCCTGTCCTGGTCAAGGTAAAGCTATCCAAATCTTCCTGGGCTACTACAGGTAATGATTTGGCCATTTCTCGATGGCTGGCTTGGGGGGAAAAAAATGGCAGAAAAGAAAAAAGTTTTAAGGACTCTTTTTGTCACTAGTACCCAAGCACAGTGAAATCGCACCACCCCTTACTTCCCAAATAACTATTGCCCTAATCCAACAGGCTTCCTTTTACCACTCTGTGTCAGACTTTCCTCATAAAGACAGGAAAAACGCACTAATTGCAAAGGAGTGTCTGGATCATAACTTGCCATCTGAGGCTGCAAGGTGCTAATTAACTGCTCATTATTATTTCCATCTGATGACTTTGAAATGTGGGGCCATTATTTATAATATGAAGTGTGATTTTAAAGTGATACTGAACTATGTAGAAAATAAACAAGTATCTTACAGTTACATGCTAGACAGAAATACAGTTTCCCTGCTTCTCATGAAAAAAGGCAATTCAATAACTCATGCAAGTCTGTTCTGCATCATTCTTGCATGTCTTCTTTAACACAACATCACATGCCAACACAAAAGCAAATTTTTTGCTGCTGTAAGCTGGCAGAACTCTGCTAAATGGAGCCGTGTCTTTAGAGCAGCCACTAATTTGGGCAGTACTCTGTCTTTACTGTAACTCTCTAGGGCCATCTGAATGTTTCAGACACATTGCATGGCAGTGCACATGAACTAGAAATAACCTCTGCAAAGCATCGCTGTGTTACTATATGAGTAACATTTTGTATTACATCTCTGAAGCTACATTAGACTAGAAAATAACCAAAAGTCAGTGGTGAAAGAGGAAAATGAGCAAGCAAAGAAAACAGATGGGATAAAACCATTGGCAAGGATTACTGCAAGATCAGTGGTCAGTGAGTCAGAACAACTCAAACTGGAATACTCCCTTCAGGGCCCAGTAGACCAGGGCTAGAAAAGAAAAATACACGAGGGAACTGAAGTAACAGGGCCAAAAATTTGAAGTAACCAGTAAGCACTGTTGAGTGTGAATTGTGTCCTTCTAGAAGATGGGCTGTACAAAAAAGATCTCCTGGGATGCAGAAGGCCTGAAAGTCTTCTGACTTTGAGCAGAAGACTTGTTCTCTATCAGTAAAGTAGAAACAAAAACCTGAAGATAAATTAGCCTGTGCTTATGGCTGAACTGTTTCTAGTTCATGACCAACTTATTTTTGGTTAATGTCAGTATCTAAGCTGTATGCCATGCAGACACATTCACAATCACAGAGGGATGCTAAGCTCAGTTTTGCTTTTAACCACAATCAAAATGCAAATAAAAACTCAGCAGCTGATTTACCAGTTCATCTTCAACAGTATTTTATTTTGATAGGAAAGTACAGTTGAATTTTTTGCTTTTGTTAGATTACTGTAGTTTGAAAGCAATAAGTGCCTCGGAGCTTCCTTAAAGAATAAATCCAATATGGTATGAGGCTGACAGACAGTTTAAGAGTTTCGTAACATTCATCTGAATGAAGATAAATTTCCAAATGAGCCATTTATCCTTTAAAGTTGTAAAGACAGACCACACAGATCTACAAATCCTAAATATAAAGGAGGTAATCAGAAGACTGGTAGGGGCAAAATTATGTCTCATTTTTATTATATACTATGATAAATAATAATTTAAATAGCCAAAATAATTTACTCAACTCCAAACATAGCACAAGGAAGATCGAGCAATGAATATAGGATCTAAACCATTCCTGAAAGTAGCTGTTTCTATTTAAAATTGAATCAAGTAAAGCTATAACCGTTTTTTAAACTCTTGCTGACTGCTTAGATAAAAATAAAACCTAGCCATCAGCTCCTATTTTGGATTTGCAAAATCTAATTTAACTAGAGATTTTCTAAAAACAAAATGAAAATCACTTCAATCTTTCTTCATTACAAACTATGACATGCCAAGCACCATTGTCCCTGTGTCTGAGTTTGTACATCTGTTTCCACACCTGGAGTTAGAGTGATTTGCTGATGATCTCCAAAAGAGTTTAACCCTAAAACGAGTGATCTTTTGTTTAGCCAGGGTGCTACCCAGATTCCTAAAACAGTTATAGGGACTAATCATGGAATATGGGACTATCATGGAATTACAGATAACAAAGTCTCTCTCTACCCCCTCGATTGCAAGTTTGCTACCAAAGCCATTTTTTCTATAGTTCTGTTCTTCTGAATGCTTTTTCTCCTAGACCCTTTAAAAAAAAAAAAAACCTCACTATCAAACCACAACCCCAGTGTTTCTTAAGTGACCTTTGCAATGAAGGGTTTTGTATTATTTTTAGTAAGACCCTAAAAGTCTCAGACAACTTTGTCATCTTCCCCTAGCTGGGCAGTCAGGGGCAGGAGGGAGGCTGCTGTAAAACCATTTATTTCAAGTTTCTAATTTTAAAGCTAATTTTTAAAAAGTAATTCATAGCAAAGATGTTTTCCTTAGTATGAGAGAAACTCTATGTTGTGTTAATATTCAGATGTCTCAGTAAAAGAAATTGGAAACAAAAATCAACTTACCTCTGGAAATACGGGCATAAAAACTATGGAATGATAGAGTGAAACTGCTGCAGACACCAAGTGTGAGTCGGCTTTGAACTGCATTCAAACACAGCTCACGCTTTCCTGCCCGTGATTCAGCTGTTGTTGATCTCTCCTTTTATTGGCTGCTTGCAAACATCTAAAATTTCCTGGTCAGATTTACAAACTGTAACTCTTTAGTGACCGCAGATGGGTTTTCAGAGGCTGATTTGTTAACTGCCTATAATTAGTGAGAGCAATTACAGAAAAAGAAGGTGGATAGCTGCTTTTTCCACAATGAGGAATGCCAAGAGGGAAAGCTATGTAACAATGAAAAACACCATACTGGATACAGCCCAGATACAGAATCGTGTAGAGCTATGTGCAGATTGTGCAGCTGATGCTTATCTTTGCAGTAGATCAAGCCAAAAGCACAAGTACAAAATCTCTTTAAACTTTTTAAGTCAAGTTGATCTTAAAACAGGGTGAAAAATGCTGTTTTTCTGGTTAGAGGGTAGGTAAGGATAGGGGTAACATTAGGTTGCACAGAAGCAAGGATCAATTGGCCATCAAGTAGCCCTGCTGAAAAGGATGTAGGGGTTATGGTGGAAGCTAAGTTGATCAGGAGCCAACAGTGCTCTCAGCAGAAGTGGGGAAAATTGCATACTGGGCTGCATTAGAAATGCAGTCAGCAAAGTGAGAGAAGTTGTTATGCCTCAGTACTCAGAAATGGTGAGGCTGCATCTGAAATACTGTAGTCAACTTTAGGGCCCTCAATTCAAAGAAAATGTTGAGAAACTGGAGAAGATGCAGTAGACAGCTAGCAAGATGGGGCCCTAGAGCACATACCTTACAAGGAGAGGTTGAGGGAGCCAGTCTTGTTTATCCAGGTGAAGGAGCCTAAGGGGGGGGTGTGTGTGTGTGTGTGTGTGCGTCTACTAGAAGCCTACAGCTACTTGAAGGTCAGTGATGAAGACAGAGCCAAATACTTCTCCATGGTGGCAGATAACAACCAGTGGCATAGGCAGATGTCTCTACTTCAGAGGTTCAAGCCAGATGCTAGAAACATTTTTTCACCAGGTGGGTAATGCAGTACTGGAATGGGCCACTCAGGTTGCAGGGTCTCCATCCTTTAAGGTTTTCTAGACTCAGCTAGGCAAGGCCATGGCTGACCTGATCCAGCACTGCTGGTAGTCCTGCTCTGAGCAGGAGGCTGGGCTAGAAAATGCCACAAGTCCAGAATATATTTAATTCTGTGAAAACTCTGTAAGACCTAATTGTGTCCTGCTAGGCCCCCAGCATATACATTCACACTGAAGGCTGATGGGACTGCTGGATGCAGGGTGGAGACTTTAGGAGAAAGCAGTCATTTCCGTTGAGCACATTTATTCAAACTTTCCACTCCATGAAGTCTGTCTTTATTTATAGAGTCTGACTTCAAAAACCAGTGTCAGTCAATGAGATTTTGTCCACGGACTTCTGTTGGCTTTGGATCAAATCCTAACCCCCCCCCGCAACAGGGAGGGAACAAGCAGTAGCGCAGTTACCTAATGCTCCTATGATCACAGGAAAGTCCCTTGTATCTAAAAATCATGTGGCTAGGGCTCCGTGGCCTGAGGGGAGGAAGCACACTACAACTATGAAGCATGGAGTATGCCTTCATGTACAATACCTTATTTCCTGACAGCTTTATCTGTCTGACCAGCGTCAGCTTTCTCCGCCCAGCACACCCCTCTGAAAGTGAAATTGGTATGAGGCAGCTGAAACAGCAAAGGTAAAACAAGTGGGCTGTAACAGTCCTGGAGAAGGCTGGAAGCACGTCAAGTTGCTGTGGCCACAGGATCCTCCTCTCCTTGGCTTTGATTTGTGAACAACGCATTCATTTGTGTCCGTAGTCTACACTTCTGTAAAAAATACATTAAAAATGTTTTCCCCTGTTTAAGGTATTAGCCTGTCAGACTCAGACTTTACTGCAGAAGATTCAAAAACCTTACAACTAATTAAAGACACTTCTTAGGGGGAGCTTTGTAGACAGATTGAAGGACTTAATTTTGCAGAAGTTCTTTGACGCTTAAAGTAGTCTTAGGTACTTCTGTATTTTTAGAATATCACATGCTGGGGAAGCAGAGTACTAGAACAAACCTGCATTTGTTTACTCCTTTTGACTATTGTCTTCAGCTTTAAAAAACCTCAGTATGAAACTATAAAGCTTAATTTTAAAACACATTTGGAGAAAACAGAAACATACAGACCAATTTGCAGTGCAGGTCTGAACTAATTAAACATCATTATTACTGAACGTGTTAATTAAAAAGAATCAGTTACTATTTTATCTACACTTAATTTATCCAGAGAAATTTAAAGTTTCTCACATCATATGAAAGCTTATAAATAATGGGCAAAGAAAAAAGAACTCTACAGGCTCACACAAGGGTTGCCTTGTGCAGTAATTAAACAAAATTAAGAAAACTAAAGTTTAGTTTGACTGTAAGTTGTTGGGGTTTTTTGGGGTTTTGTTTTGTT